AAAAATTCTCTGTGTCTGTGTTTTTTTACAACAGATCTCAAGTGGTTGAGGCTCATTCTTACTACTCTCAGCATTTTGTCTACAAGTTATATTTAATGTGTTGCTGTGTCACAGTGTGTGTGTCTGCAGCTTCTTGCAGACACACACACTGTGATTCAGTGGCAACCAGTGAGGTCATGTGGCAGTCATGTGACACTGGCAAATGCTCAGAAGGAACACAAAATGAGGAAAAGGGGAAGGGGGCAAAATTTCTCTAGTCATCAGGAGCTCTAAATCACTGATGCACAGACAAGCCACTCATGTACACACACATGCTGATGCACTGACAAAGCCTGGCGCACGCTGAGAGCTCATTCTGCAAGTGGCCTATAAAATATGAATGATATCGTGCTATATTTTTATCAGTGTGCCTAAGGACATGTATGAACTGGAGCAGCAAAAACACTTCTCTAGGCTCCACATGCATGCCTACTGTACATCCAGTGCTTGTGGTGCGTGTGTTCTGTGTCTGTGTGTGCATGGGTTTTGTTATTATCTGAATGTTTCTGTTGTGTAAAAACAGAAAGAGAAAGAGAGTGAATCCTTGTATGTGTCTTGGGAGTTGCTGTCAGAACTTTGTATGCAGCTCTGAGAGTTAATTCGCACAGCTGCCAAACACAAACACACACTTGGAGAGAGAAAAAGGAAGTGAGGGGAGGAAAACTCTTACCTGTATAAGTTGAAGACCTGAGAGCAAGGCAAACAGCCACACTGCTTGCTCAATGTTGCTGTCTGCATTGTTGAAAGAGACTTGCAGTCTCTCTCCTACTCTTTTTTTCACACATACACACACACATTCGGTTAGACACACACTCTTCATTTTGTGCCCACTCATACTCGTTAGAACATTTGAACACTGGCCCTTGTGTAGGAGTGTGCTTTTGGCACAGTGTGTGAGTGTGTGTGTGGTTGTGAGAGTGTGAGAGAGCGAGACAGCGGGAGGATGTACTTGAGACAGTGTGAGAGAATGATTTTGTCTGTGTTTGTGTGTGTGGTTGCATGTGAGGGAACGTGCATGTGTGTGTGTATGTGTCTGCTGCACACAACAGAGAAAGAAGGGTGAAAAAACGACAGGAAAAGGAAGGAGAGAGCAAGAAAAGCACAAGGCCCTGTCTTCAGAAGGCGCTGACAGGTTGACAGGTCTGCTGAGACCCGCAGAAACAAACATACAGAGACAGAGTGAGGGAGATAGAGAGGCAAAGAGAGAAAGAAACTGGGGGAGTGGGAGGGAAAACTGAAAGAGAATAGAAGAAAGGGAACGTAAACCTTTACAAAGACAAATGCATGCAGACACCTTGAGCATGTAGCACCCAAAATTGCAGTTGTAAAGTTTTCTTTCTTTGGTTATAATGCTGTGTCATTTCCTTCTCAATGTACAGTGCGGCGGCACACAGATCTGTGTGTTATGCCAGCAAAGTTAGCTGAAAGTTCACAGACATGGCATGAAAGAGAAGTGCAGAAAGTGAGGAAGAGAAGGCAACAAAGAGAGCGATAACGAAAGACACAGGAGAGAGATGTGGCGAGGTTAGCGCAGAGAGACACGGAGATGGAAATAGAGTGCATGTGTGTGGCTTTTCAGAACGGAAATCAAAAGATGCTTTATTGAGAGGGGAATTGTCTGTGAAAAGTGGGTTTTGTGTAATATTGTCAGTTCTTCAGCTTTGCATGAGTCCCAGTTGCAGATCTACACAATACTGCAGTTTATTCTGGTGAATCAGCAACAAAATAAGCCTCTAGCTTTGCCCCCAGTAGAAGATCACATTTTTAAACATCTTCTCTGGCTTGTCCCTAGATGATATTGTAGAGACATTTTAGTAAAAGAAAAAAAAAAGGATGAAAAATGACAGAAATTACTTTGGATAATGGTATATTTTTGGCTGACCTAGTAGAATTGGCTGTGAATGCAGAATAATCCACATTACAAGCAGTTTATAGTGAGAATTGAGCCACAGCACCATGCAAAACCTCCCAATGATTGCAATATTAGATCATTTACAGTGTAGTATTGCTGAAAATAGACATTAAAAGACATTGTGAATATGGAATGCCTGAGTAAAGGAGGGCCCCAACGCTAGCTGTGACATATCCATGGGCACCTCTGGCAGACAGAATGAGGTACAAAGTTGAAGGCAGTTAAGACTGACACAAAATGAACGATTGGCTGTAACATTTTAATAGCAAGAACGATGCACAGGAAGAAAAGAGACATAACAGAAGCTGGTGAAAGGGCCTAAGTCTTTCTGGGACTTTGTTGGAATGAGAAGAGCGTTGGAAAGAAGGACTTGTCCTGGACTCTGTCAGGAATGAAGGAGAGAAAGAGAGAATGTGTAGATAAAAGGGCGAGAGAGACATAGATGGACTTCGGTTGGTTGAAGAACAGAAGCTGGTGGAGCAGAGAGAGTGTGAAAGAGAGAGAGAGGGAAGGAGAGCGTGAATACCAGCTATTGTTGGAATGCCGTAGCAACACGCGGCAGAGAGGAAGGGGGAGGTGTGTGTGTGTGTGTCTGTTTCTATGTGTGCAGGGGTCAGTGGGTTTTATACTCTGTTCGAGTTGCTCCTTGACAGAGATGCATCAAGTTCTTTGTTGGCAACCTATAGCGACTGTGATCTTAAATTATTAGCTAGTCTGGACACAAGCCTAAAACAATCCACTACTGCATTTCAGACTAGTTTATCATCACACGAAGGTTGGTAGAGCAAAACATCAGCACTGCTTGTGTTAAGAAGTTCAACCTACACCATAGTTAAAAATGCAGGTATCCATCCACTTTGTGATATGGAGTCTACAGCGATGCTATCCAGTCTGTAAGCCTGTACTTGGGCACAGTGGTGTTTGAGCTAAAAATGCTAACATGTTTTACAGGTACATTTTACAATGTTCACTATCAGAGTGTAGCATTTAGCATGGTAGCAATTGCTAACAAGCACTAAACACAAAGTAGCCTACAACTGAGGCAGATGGTAATGTCCAAGTGGACAAATTACATTTTTGACATGATGAAGGCACTTGATAAAAAGTTAATGGGCTGCCCAAGAAAAGGAATTTATGTTTAAAATTTAATGACAACCCTTCCAATAGTTGTCCAGAGTTTTCCTTAAAAACTAAAAACGTCAACCCCCTTGTGGGACTAGAGGGAAAATCGGGGAATCATTAAAGTCATTAGAATTCATCCTCTGGGGACCATGAATATCTGATCAAATATTCTTAGCAATCCGTCTGTTTAAATATTTCAGTCTGGACCAAAATGTTGGACTGGTCTGACTTTGCCACCCCTAGAGCTGTGTCACTAATGTGCCTAAGAAAATTGACATGCAATGCTTTGTCAAACATATGATTACTCCAAAATCTGATTTAACATACACTGTACTGTGGCGCTGAACAACAATCTGCAAAGTTTTGTAAACATTATTTTGAGTTGAATGTATAAAAAATTCTTCTGTTAGTCCTAATTCATCCTAATAATCCCTATGTTTCCTTTGTCTTTCCAGGATCCTGCTGGCATCTTTGAGCTGGTTGAGCTTGTGGGAAATGGCACCTATGGGCAGGTGTACAAGGTAAGATACACACAAACACCGACTTTGATACACATTAGTCTGTCTTTTTGATAGAACACACCCCTATCTTATCAGCTTTTGTTCATTAATTCCGAGGAGCCTATATGGGATAAAGAATAGAAATATGCACTGTGACTGAAGGAAACAGTGAAGACAGGAGATAAAAGCGGCACACAAGCTCGAGAGAAATGGAGCGAATGTAAAAGAGACTTAAATGCAGAGAGGAGAAGCAGAAACTGGGGCACATTAGAGTGCTTTTAGGAGAATTTCCCTTCCCTTTTCTTTGCTGCTCCCCTGCTGTATTTACATTTCTTCTATACCTCTACAAAATGATTATAATTCTTCCTTTGATTAGGTACTTGAGGGGGAAGGGTTTCTCTGAGACACAGGAACTGCTTATGCTCATTTGGTCTGACGTTGTGCCATAACTGTGGTTTGAGGTTTTTGCTGTCAGCTGGACTCAGCTGCTTCCCGCTGTCGTTTAGAAACACTATCTCTCGGTCCATGTCACTGTCTGTACTTCCTGTTCCCTCCACGATGGCCCACCGTTCTCTGGTCCTCACTTCCTTTTCCTGACCCTGCTGCTTCATCCTGCCACTCTGCAGGATGGGGCACCAGCCAACACTTCTAGCTGGAGTAAACATGTGTTTGTTCAAGTATGTGAAGGCATGGACATGTGAAGGCCTATATTTTATGTGTTTGAGAGTGTGTCTAATGGAGCAGAGAGTCATGGTCAGGTGGTGATGGAGAGGAGCTGCTCTTAGAGCTGATTGGGCCAGATGAGAGGTCAAGCAGAGGTTGGGCTAGCTTCTCCAGGCTTCTAGAAATAATCTGACATCCTCACGTGTGTGCCTGCATGGACAGAAGGGAGGAAAAAACAAAAGGAACGGAGAAAAGGAGAGTTATGTGTATCCATTTATTGCTGACTCTGCTGTCTTGGTGAAAGTCACGGCTCATTTACTGGCTGACATTCAGCTAGTCTGTTCCTATACATTACCGAGCCTCAGAACGCCTATGGGTAACCCGTACAGCTGATCCACACTGGTTTGTGATTGGATGTCACACAGTGTATAATACTCAATGGAGTCCGTACTAAGGTTAATTCTATTTCTGCTGTTGGTTGATGGAGTTTTCAATGTGTGGAATAGATTTTTTGTGAGCCTTTTGAAGACAAAAGTTTGTTATATTTAACACTTTTCCTGTTTGTGGTTGAATATTTATTCTTAAAATTTCCTTTAGGTGCTAAGTTTAATAAACGTTTGGCCTACGGGGATCAGAAAAAAATCTATTAAAACTTAAAAAATTAAATAATAGAGCTGAAATGATTGACAGAATATTAAGCAGCAACTATTTTGATAGTTTAAGCCATTTATTAATAAAAAATTATAATGATTAGGGGTTGTTAGGATTTACTACTTTTTCTCTTTCTTATAGAAAACCAACTATCTTTGGGCCTTGGGTTGCTCAGACAGATAAGCAATTAGAAGATGTCACCTTAAGTTATTTTCCGATATTTTATAGATCAAATGTTTATTTGAGAAAGGAATCATCAGATTAATCAATAATAAAATGAGTAGTTAGTTGCAGCTCTAATAGAAATCTTTGTACAAAAATAAAGCATGCTAAAAATGCCTCTTCGGTGCAGTAGAAGTAGATACAGATGTAAATGGGAAATGATTGGATTCATACACACAGATAAGGAGCGAAGTCACTTGAGCAAAAATGCAATCTATTTTAAATTCCTCATGTGGTTGAGGTCCCTCGTCTTTAGGCAAGCCGCCTGAAGAGAATCAACCTCTTCTGAGCAGGTGAATCTCTGAGTCACTGAGATGATAAATTGACCTTCAGCCTGGTGGGTATTAGAGAACTGGAATTGCTCCGGCTCTCTCTGAACCATTTTTAGACACTTGTTATATCAGAAAAATAACACATAAGAATACCATACTGTATAGAGCTGTGGACTGCAGTATCAATGGATTCTTGTGAGTGTGCTGTGGAGTGAACACAGGAGGAATTTTTGCTCAGATGTAAAGATTAGAGTCAGGCAGGCTGTAAACATGATTTTACTCCTTGTTTTGATTCCAAAAATAAATTTAATTTGCTCAGTGGCCAGGGGCCAGTTCTTCTCTGATGTATCTGGGATCATAGACTGCAAGCTAACAAGTTGTGCCTTGATATTTTCTTTCGAACCACTGCAGCAGTTTTAAAAAAAGGATTATTAGACAACTCTTCTTCCCAAGCTATCTTTTTTGTTGTTGCTTGTTTAAATTTATTGTAGATTTATTGCGTAATAGTACGTATCAATGTTATTAGATGAAACCATTCTGACTGCAAAATGACTGCTGTTCATTTCACTGAAACTGAATTATTCCTTTCAGTGGATAGACAAATTTAGGCTACGTTTGGGCTTATTCAATCTTTAATAAGCCTGTTGGATGGAAGTGAAAAATGCATCAGGTAAAAGCTAAAAACAGCTACATTTCCTGAGAAGTTGACATTTTTGAGATTTAAAATTCTGTTTAACAGAAATATGATGTGACGTATAAGTCATTTTTACCTTTTCTCAAATCTGATACAATTCAGGTATTTTTCCAGCAAAAGCATCACTCTAGAACGAGTCCACTGCATTCTGCTGCAGTAGTTTTTACTTGATGTACTATGTGCAATGAAGCTAGAGATATGTATGTGTACCCATGCATGCGCCCTTTTGTCCATGTATATGTGTGTGATAGTAATGGCCAGCACAGTGTTTTATGTTATTGGTGATAGAGGGGCCGGTAATGTGCCACGTAGCTGCATTTCTGTGTGTCTGGGAGCAAGCGATAACAGGTTTATCAACAATTCCATTACCCCATCTAGTTAAATGATACAGATCTGCTCCACAGTGCTCTTTCCTCTCCCTCCATCCCTCTCATGTGCACCCAAATTCTCATCTCAATTAAAAAATGTCTTGAAAACTTGTTCCAGGTTGTTGTTTTTTGTTGCAGTTCCCCTGTCAGCAAAAAATAGTTTGGCTGAGACCAATGATAGACGAGTAGCCGCAGCGAGAAAGATAATTTTAGCTTCACTTCTCCCTCTGTTTCCCTTTCTCATCTTACATCTCCATGGCAGTTCTGCTTCCTTGTTTTTCCTCCTCTGTCTATTCATCTCCCTCACTTCTTCATCCCTCACTTCTGCGTATTTCTCTTATCAATATGTAATCATGTTTTTCTTCTCATTTCCCCTGTTTTTGGGGTTGAAACTTCCCTGGTGAGCTGTACTTAAGGGAGCATCTTCTGCCTACAGTATGCGTATATATAGTTTCTACTGGCTGCTCTAAAAGGGCCATAAATAGGGAACACGGGTAATGCTGAATAATTAAACACATTCTCTTATCACTTCTCTCCCTCTACATCTTCTCTGTTTTCCTCCTCTCTCTCTCTCTCT